CTCCTGGTGTCTCCCTCACTCCCACCTGTGTCTCTGTCCCCTCGTGTCTCCCTCACTCCCACCTGTGTCTCTCTCCTGGTGTCTCCCTCACTCCCACCAGTGTCTCTGTCTCCTGGTGTCTCCCTCACTCCCACCTGTGTCTCTGTCTCCCAGTGTCTCCCTCACTCCCACCTGTGTCTCTGTCTCCTGGTGTCTCCCTCACTCCCACCTGTGTCTCTGTCCCAGTGTCTCCCTCACTCCCACCTGTGTCTCTGTCTCCTGGTGTCTCCCTCACTCCCACCTGTGTCTCTGTCTCCTCGTGTCTCCCTCACTCCCACCAGTGTCTCTGTCTCCTGGTGTCTCCCTCACTCCCACCAGTGTCTCTGTCTCCTGGTGTCTCCCTCACTCCCACCAGTGTCTCTGTCTCCTCGTGTCTCCCTCACTCCCACCAGTGTCTCTGTCTCCTGGTGTCTCCCTCACTCCCATCTGTGACTCTGTCCCCTCGTGTCTCCCTCACTCCCACCTGTGTCTCTGTCTCCTGGTGTCTCCCTCACTCCCACCTGTGTCTCTGTCTCCTCGTGTCTCCCTCACTCCCACCTGTGTCTCTGTCTCCTGGTGTCTCCCTCACTCCCACCTGTGTCTCTGTCTCCTCGTGTCTCCCTCACTCCCACCAGTGTCTCTGTCTCCTCGTGTCTCCCTCACTCCCACCTGTGTCTCTGTCTCCTGGTGTCTCCCTCACTCCCACCAGTGTCTCTGTCCTGGTGTCTCCCTCACTCCCACCTGTGACTCTGTCCCCTCGTGTCTCCCTCACTCCCACCTGTGTCTCTGTCTCCTGGTGTCTCCCTCACTCCCACCTGTGTCTCTGTCTCCTCGTGTCTCCCTCACTCCCACCAGTGTCTCTGTCTCCTCGTGTCTCCCTCACTCCCACCTGTGTCTCTGTCTCCCTGGTGTCTCCCTCACTCCCACCTGTGTCTCTGTCTCCTGGTGTCTCCCTCACTCCCACCTGTGTCTCTGTCCTGGTGTCTCCCTCACTCCCACCTGTGTCTCTGTCCCCTCGTGTCTCCCTCACTCCCACCTGTGTCTCTGTCTCCTGGTGTCTCCCTCACTCCCACCTGTGTCTCTGTCTCCTGGTGTCTCCCTCACTCCCACCAGTGTCTCTGTCTCCTGGAGTCTCCCTCACTCCCACCTGTGTCTCTGTCTCCTGGTGTCTCCCTCACTCCCACCTGTGTCTCTCTCCTGGTGTCTCCCTCACTCCCACCTGTGTCTCTGTCTCCTGGTGTCTCCCTCACTCCCACCTGTGTCTCTCTCCTGGTGTCTCCCTCACTCCCACCTGTGTCTCTCTCCTGGTGTCTCCCTCACTCCCACCTGTGTCTCTGTCTCCTCGTGTCTCCCTCACTCCCACCTGTGTCTGTCTCCTGGTGTCTCCCTCACTCCCACCTGTGTCTCTCTCCTGGTGTCTCCCTCACTCCCACCAGTGTCTCTGTCTCCTCGTGTCTCCCTCACTCCCACCAGTGTCTCTGTCTCCTGGTGTCTCCCTCACTCCCACCAGTGTCTCTGTTTCCTCGTGTCTCCCTCACTCCCACCTGTGTCTCTGTCTCCTCGTGTCTCCCTCACTCCCACCTGTGTCTCTGTCTCCTGGTGTCTCCCTCACTCCCACCTGTGTCTCTGTCCCCTCGTGTCTCCCTCACTCCCACCTGTGTCTCTGTCTCCTGGTGTCTCCCTCACTCCCACCTGTGTATCTGTCTCCTCGTGTCTCCCTCACTCCCACCTGTGTCTCTGTCTCCTGGTGTCTCCCTCACTCCCACCTGTGTCTCTGTCCCCTCGTGTCTCCCTCACTCCCACCTGTGTCTCTGTCTCCTGGTGTCTCCCTCACTCCCACCTGTGTCTCTGTCCCCTCGTGTCTCCCTCACTCCCACCTGTGTCTCTGTCTCCTGGTGTCTCCCTCACTCCCACCTGTGACTCTGTCTCCTGGTGTCTCCCTCACTCCCACCTGTGACTCTGTCTCCTGGTGTCTCCCTCACTCCCACCTGTGTCTCTCTCCTCGTGTCTCCCTCACTCCCACCTGTGTCTCTGTCCTCGTGTCTCCCTCACTCCCACCTGTGTCTCTCTCGTGGTGTCTCCCTCACTCCCACCTGTGACTCTGTCTCCTGGTGTCTCCCTCACTCCCACCTGTGTCTCTGTCTCCTGGTGTCTCCCTCACTCCCACCTGTGTCTCTCTCTCCTCGTGTCTCCCTCACTCCCACCTGTGTCTCTGTCTCCTCGTGTCTCCCTCACTCCCACCTGTGTCTCTCTCCTGGTGTCTCCCTCACTCCCACCTGTGTCTCTCTCTCCTCGTGTCTCCCTCACTCCCACCTGTGTCTCTGTCTCCTCGTGTCTCCCTCACTCCCACCTGTGTCTCTCTCTCCTCGTGTCTCCCTCACTCCCACCTGTGTCTCTGTCTCCTCGTGTCTCCCTCACTCCCACCTGTGTCTCTGTCTCCTGGTGTCTCCTTCACTCCCACCTGTGTCTCTGTCTCCTGGTGTCTCCCTCACTCCCACCTGTGTCTCTCTCTCCTCGTGTCTCCCTCACTCCCACCTGTGTCTCTGTCTCCTCGTGTCTTCCTCACTCCCACCTGTGTCTCTCTCCTCGTGTCTCCCTCACTCCCACCTGTGTCTCTGTCCTCGTGTCTCCCTCACTCCCACCTGTGTCTCTCTCCTGGTGTCTCCCTCACTCCCACCTGTGTCTCTGTCCCCTCGTGTCTCCCTCACTCCCACCTGTGTCTCTGTCTCCCAGTATCTCCCTCACTCCCACCTGTGTCTCTGTCCCCTCGTGTCTCCCTCACTCCCACCTGTGTCTCTGTCTCCTGGTGTCTCCCTCACTCCCACCTGTGTCTCTGTCTCCTGGTGTCTTCCTCACTCCCACCAGTGTTCAATCGGTAAAAAGTCACAGAAACACTTGAGATGAACAACAGCTCCACGCCAAGTCACATCGGAGACCGGACCGACTCAAATTCACATGTGGCCGGAGTCGTGTCGAAAGACGAGTCGCGATTCAAGTTTCTGCATCAAAAATCGATCCTTGTTTGTATTGTATCAACGTCGGAAATGTGGATCGTCATAAACCGGAGGCCACCCATACTATAATTTATAATGTGTGGGTTCTCGGTTTTGACTGCATTGAATATGTAATATAATGTGTGCTCTATTTAGATTCAGTTTGAGTGCTTTTCATAAACTAGCACATTTACGATCTATCGCACCGCAAGCAGTGGATCATGACGGAAATAAGTGTCAGGCCCACTTCCATTCGGTGGTCCGCCGAGGTCGCTCTTCATCCTCCCTCTTCCTCCTTGCTTGCATCGCTACATTGGCCGCAACTTAACCATTTGAGACACAATGGATCTTTAGTCTCTTGATTCGGTGTCTCAGACTGTGGGAACTCATTAATAATCGCTACACACATCCACTCTTTCATTGCCAGCACCCCAATCCAACGTTGACAGCTTGATGAATATTCAGCTGAATGTTTTATTCACGGGCGCGCGCGTTGCTAAGAGGTTTTTTTGCAGGGGGATAAGAAGCATTGCAAAGGGAGGAGACATCAATTCAGGGAAGGCTTACACTCTAGTAGGCCTGCACTTGTATTGTGCATTTCTGTGAAATGCTATGAACATGTATTCCGCATATTTTAAACTTTTATTTATGAATTGAAATTGAGCGCTTAAATTATATTTCAATGTGAGCTCATGATGCAGATAACCCCATGGCATGGGTTTATTGTATTACTCACCTCTTCCTTTCTGTTGTATGCTAATCAGCAGAACAGTTGGATTGCAGATGGTTATTATTAATATAAAATAGTGGGAATATATCATCATGGAACCTCCTTTGCCAGTACCAAAATATACTAATAGGGTTTTTCCCCTTTTTTCTGGCAACAAAACTGACACCTTTTGCAAGGAATCATGCTTACATTAACCACAATACTTGCAGTCAAATGCAAACAAAAAACAATACTCTGATAATTTATGCATTGTCCTTGAAACTGATTGGTCCACACCAGAGACAGCTTTCTTTAGAGCCTAGTCTCATATGGTGTTCGACCAGATGACGCTAATAGGCGCACAGTTCAAAGACAACGCAATACCAGAGTAATGAGAGCTCGGGGTGAGCAGCTACATCATGGGACCTCCTTTGCCAGTACCAAAATAAACTAATAGGGGTTTTCCCCTTTTTTCTGGCAACAAACCTGACACCTTTTGCAAGGAATCATGTTTACATTAACCACAATACTTTCAGTCAAATGCAAACCAACAAAAAACAATACTCTGATAAGTGTCTGTGGTGTGGACCAATCAGTTTCAAGGACAATGCATAAATTATCAAAGTATTGTTTTTTATTTTCATTTGACTGCAAGTATTGTGGTTAATGTAAACATGATTCCTTGCAAAAGGTGTCAGTTTTGTTGCCAGAAAAAAGGGGAAAACCCCTATTAGTATGGTGGGAATATGTTTGACATGGTAATTATTAGGTAAGAAATATATAGATCCATTCCTTCCCCCTCTTCCTGAACTCCCATCGTCTTTAGCATTGTTTGTTGTTGAAACGTTCTGACCCGCCCCTACTGGACATGTGTGAAAAATAGCTTTATAGATAATCGGATTTATCCAAGCACATCAAGATTCTGAATCGGATCTACATCAGTCACTACACATCCGCTGTTCATTGATTAGATAAGCCTTTGCATTGACACATTGAACAACAACAACATCTCTCAAAGTCTTAAAACGTTTCAAAAGATTTAGTGAAAACCAAATAAAATTATTTACATAACTAAACTCTAGCCGCTGGGTTGTGTGCGGGTGCGTCCCTGTGTCTGTGTATGTGCGCCCGTGTGTGTGTCTGCCCCCTTGTGTGTGTCTGTCCGTGTGTGTCTCTGTGTGTGTCTGTATCTGTGTGTGCATCTCTGTGTGTTTGCCCCCGTGTGTGTGTGTGTCTCTGTGTATGTCTGTGTGTGTGTGTGCGCGCGCACATCCCTGCAGCCTGCCCAAGTGTCAGCTGGAGGTTGGAGCTGACAACTTCTCCTTGTCGACAGTGGCTGTGGAGTCCTGCATGCCCCCCCCACCTCGCAAGAGCTGCCAAGAGTCGCCCAGCCTGCTGCCCAGTGCCCGTGCCCTCAACTATTATGACAACATGCTGTGTACGGTACGACCTTACGATGTCCCCTCTGGTATGTCGGTCTCATTATCGTTGCTTTGCTCCTCTTTGCAGTCAGTGGCAGTTCCGCCGAGGCCTACGGCTGTTGTGTTCTAATTGACGTGGACGCTATGTGTAACGAACACAGGCCTTGTGCGGAGCACTGTGATGCAAGTGTCAATGCTTGAGGTATTGCTTTGCATACATTATACAATTTGAAGCAAATAATAATAATTACCTTTATATGGCATCTTTCATCAGTGATCCCAAATCGATGTACAAGGCATAGCAATGAAAACTCAGCATAAAATAACTCCTGAAACTAAAAACTTAAATATGGAAAAGTACTCAAATAAATGCCAAAAACCATTCACAGAATTAACTATAATTTGCATAACCAGAAGTATATAGATGAGTTTTAAGGTGATCAGCCACGTGCCTGGAGGAGCTTCGGCACACCGTCGGCCAGCGGTGTGCAGAGTGGGGGAGCGGAAGAGCTGACGAGGGAGCGCGTGCGGGGCGCGCGCGAGGAGATGCTGGTCCGTTGTCAGGATCAGCGGGGTGCGAGAAAGAAGCTAAATACAAGAGCAACGGAGACCAGCAGTGTGTGACGAAGTCTTTTATTACATTGGGGTCAGAAGTGCTTCGAGATGTCAAAACATCTCAAGAAGAAAAATCTACCTACGCCTTCTTCAGAGGACGAGGAGGACCTTCCTCCAGCGGTGGCGCTCCCGAACACGGAGGGCGCAGGCGGGTCGGCGGCGAGCGACACAACAGGGGTACAAGATGTCGCGGGAGCCGGGCCGTTTGCATCTTCTGGCGGCGAGGACGGCTGGCGGCTCGTGGAGGAGCAAATTGATTTGCTAGACTTGGTTACCCTGGTCGTGCCAGCGACGATGCCGGGACAGCCACGCGTCGGGCCTCTCCGGGGGGAAACTTCGGGTGGGGCCGAGACATCCGCCATTGCAACCTCTGCGAGGCTTCCCGCCTTCCCCGACACACAGCAAGACGCCGCCATCTTGGGCGCGGCCACGAATGACTGGCGGGAAGCTGCCATCTTGTCACCGCCACGTGGGGCGCCCGCTTCGGGTGACAGCAGCGGGGGGACTCGCAGCCACCGTCTGACGACTATTAAAGAATTTACCGTCGGCGGGGATTGGAGCGCATTCGCTTGGCGCTTTGAGACCAGCAGTGTGTGACGAAGTCTTTTATTACACATAGTACATTATACATTATATACAACGTAAACAATGAAAAGACTGCACGTGTATACATCACCCCATGCAGAGTCTTCGAGATTGGAGTGGTAAGCTCGGGTACAGGAAAGAAATTAACCTTTTAAAGTATTTTTTGTCTATTTGTTTATTTTTGCCAATTTCCAATAATAAGCAAATTTAAAATATGTCGTGCAAGAATGGACAAGACCCCCCCCCCAATTGAATTTACTGTCACTGCATGTTTATATTTATATAAATACTTGTATGGTAGTAAAATGTGGAAATTTAAACGTGGAATCTAATGTAGAATATGAAGTTTGATGCAGCATAAAATGAGGCCTGAATAATGAAATTCAATGACAGAAATGGGACAGCCACACAAATGTACGTATCTAAAGTGCCAACAAAACGTGTGTAGTGGGTTTGTATGGAGATGGAGTCTTCCTAGGAGGCAACACGTTTATTATATAATGTAACAAGAACACAACACGAGGTCCCTAACACGAAGGGGTAATGGCCCCTTCCACCCACAACCGAGGGAGGTACAGCCTCCGGGCTAACGTATCCTAGCCACTGGGGCTAACTGCTCCTGTAGCCCTCTGGCTAGCGGGACCTAGGGGAGGGTGACCCGACCCAGCCAAGGTGCGAGTCACGACCCTGGCCCATCCAGACCCGGCCCGTAGAAGGACGTCGGGTCGAGGGATCCTCAGGGTCCTAGCCTATTGACCACTGGCCTCACTGAGCCCCGGCCCTCAGAAGGACGTCGGGACTTGGGGTCCAGGGTCCTATCTTCAGGTGGCTTCTGGTTTTTCAGCTTGAGGCGAACTGCCTCAGCCGCTCCGGGGTCCGGCTTTTATGGGGCTCCCAGGGTCACCCCGCGCCTGGCCACGCCCACCATCTGGATCCTTCTCGAGGGCCCTGGATTGTTGCGCAATCCCCCCCAGCCCCCCACCCGGGGCCCTGGGGTGTCCCCCTCTGGTTCCCAACCATCCCCCCCGGGATGCCGGACCCCCGAGTCCTGCTTGTCACAGGTCGGACTCGCTATTGCCCCCTGTTGGGCCCTGACTGGAATTACCAGCTCAACCAAAGTGGTGGCGGCGTATTACGCCCAACAATTACCCACCAGACGTGTGCTAAGAATAGACTCCAACGAAGTGATGCTTCGCCAAGATTATTCACTTCAACATTAGAACACATAAAAAAAAACTGGATTGGAAAAACAAAGACATATTAATATACTAGCGGAAGTACCCGGCTTTGCCCGGGTGAAAAATATCTTTCTTAAAAACCTTACATGTATATACACAGATACTAAGGTATTGTCAAAGCCCGGTGGGCTGTTTGTACATTTTTCCACCAACAAATATATAAGAGGCTTTCACAAGTCCAAAAAGTTGTAGAAAGTGTGGGGTAAATAGTTGATGTCAAAATGTTTCCGAAAATTGTGGTCTCCCCCCCCCCTCAAAAAATATCTTTACCCCTCGTAGGTATATATACTAACAACACCTTACATACAACAGAGGAAGTGGTATCTATTGACTCTGTAGTAGTATCTACTGACTGTACCGTAGTATCTACTGAGCCAGTAGTAGCTACTGACTGTGTAGTAGTATTTAGTGACTGTAATAACTACTGACCATAGTAGTATTTACTGGGCCTACAGTAGTATCTACCGACTATATACTCGTAACGACTAACTGTATAGTATCTGCTGACTCTATAGTGTATCCACTGACTATAGTAGTAACTACAAAATCTATAGCAGTATCTACTCACTCTATAATAGTATCTACTGACTCTAGTAGCTACTCACCGTAGCAATATGTACTGACTGTATAGTAGTATATACTGACTGTAGCAGTATTGACTGACTGTAGTGGTATATACTGACTGTTTTAGTATTTACTATAGCGGTATCTACCAACTCGATAGCAGTATCTACTATCGCTACAGCAGTGTATACCGACTGAGGTCGTACCTGCTATCACTACAGCAGTGCATACTGCTGTGTTGGTACCTGTTATGATGACAGCAGTGCATACTGACTGTGGTGGTACCTGCTATGATTACAGCAGTGCATACTGCTGTGGTGGTATCTGCTATGATGAGAGGAGTACATATTGTGGTGGTGGTACCTGGTATGATAACAGCAGTGCATATTGACTGTACTCATCATTCACCCTCACCATTCACCACTCACAACTCACCCTTACCACTCATCCTCACCACTCACCACTCCCACTCACTATTCACCATTCACCCTCACAACTCACCACTCACCAACCTCCCTCACCAATCTCCCTCACCACTCACCCTCACCACTCACCCTCACCACTCACCCTCACCACTCACCAATCACCACTCACCCTCACCACTCACTCTCACCACTAACCCTCACCACTAACCCTCACCACTCTCACTCACCACTCTCCCTCACCACTCACCACTCACTCTCACCATTCATCCTCACCAATCACCACTGACCAATCACCACTCTCCACTAACCCTCACCACTCAACCTCACCACTCACCCTCAAAACTAACCACTCTCTCACCACTCACCCTCACCACTCAGCACTCACCCTCACCACTCACCCTCACCACTCACCCTCACCACTCACCCCTCACCGCTCGCCACTCACCCATCACCACTCACAACCGCCACTCACCCTCACCACTCATCCTCACCACTCACCCTCACAACAACCACTCACCCTCACCACTCACCCTGACCACTCATCCTCACCAATCACACCCTCACCAATCACCACTCACCCGCACTGCTCACCCTCACCACTCACGCTCACCCTCACCACTCACCCCTCACTAATCACCACTCATAACCGCCACTCACCCTCACCACTCACCACTCACCCTCAACACTCACCCTCACCACTCACCGTGACCACTCACCCTCACTACTCACCACTCATCCTCACCAATCACACCCTCAACAATCACCACTCACCCTCACAACTCACCCTCACCACTCACTCTCACCACTCACCACTCACCCCTCACAACAACCACTCACCCTCACCGCTCAGCACTCACCCTCACCAATCACCACTCACCCTGACCACTCACCACTCATCCTCACCAATTCACATCCTCACCAATCACCACTCACCCTCACTGCTCACCCTCACCGCTCACCCTCACCACTCACCCTCACCACTCACGCTCACCCTCACCACTCACCCCTCACTAATCACCACTCACAACCGCCACTCACCCTCACCACTCACCCTCACCACTCACTAATCACCTCTCACAACCGTCACTCACCCTCACCACTCACTCTTACCACTCACCCTCACCACGCACCCTCACAACAACCACTCACCCTCACAACAACCACTCACCCTCACTACTCACCCTCACCACTCATCCTCACCAATCACACCATCACCAATCACCACTCACCCTCACTGCTCACCACTCAACCTCACCACTCACGCTCACCCTCACCATTCATCCCTCACTAATCACCACTAACAACCGCCACTCACCCTCCCCACTCACCCTCACCACTCACCCTCACCAATCACCACTCACCCTCACCACTCACTACTCACCCTCACCACTCTCCCTCACCACTCTCCCTCGCCACTCTCCCTCACCACTCTCCCTCACCAGTCACGCTCACCACTCACCACTCACGCTCACCACTCACCCTCACTACTCACCCTAACCACTCACCACTCACGCTCACCACTCACCCTCACTACTCACCCTAACCACTCACCACTCACGCTCACCACTCACCCTCACTACTCACCACTCACGCTC